AACAGCCTCCTGTTGCAGCTCCATCGCCCCGGCCTCTGGCTCTGGCATCTCTCCTGCTGGCTCCATCATCTCTCCTTCCAGCTCCTTCTTTTTCTTTTTCTTCTTCTTCTTGGCAGGCAATGGGGCTGTTGCCTCTTCCTCTCTTCTGACTGGCACTCGCTGTATAGGCTGCGGCATCTCCTGCCCTGGAGCAAAGTTCAGCTCTCCCACTCCATTCAGAATCTCCTGTGGACTAGGATTCTGAGACACCAGTTCGGGCTTCCTCCTTTTCCGGGAAGACTTCACTTCCCCCGCCTCCCCTGCTGCTGTCTGAGCCGGGGGCCCCAGCACGGGCTGCCGGCCCCCAAAGGCCTGGAATCGGGGCCGTAGGCCAGCTGGGATCTGTGGGGGTGGGCTGGTGGGGATGGCGTGGAGGGACCGGCTGGAGGACTTGCTTCGGGGCACTTCTATGATACTCAGGGTGCCCTGCAGAGCTGGGGCTGGGACCAGCTGGCCGTCTGCCGAAGATGAGGGCGCCAGCAGGGTCTCGGGGCCGTTTCTGCTGGTGTTGCTCAGGATATGGTAGCGCTGGCGGACACCGGCCTCATTCCGATGGCTCTTCAGGGTCTGGAAGCCGACAAGAGGCACCTTGCATCCATTGAGGCTGTGGAGGGAGGAATGGGGAGATTGTATGGGGGGGACCTGAGGAGTGCAAGGGGGGCAGGACCAGAGCAAGAACCCCAGTAACTAAGAGAGTCTGGGGCGAAGACAGTGGAGTTCTAGAATCCTCACTGCTGAGAACCATGTAAGCATTGGACAGTAAGCTCCTTAAAGGCAGGCCCTGTCTTTTGCCTTTTTGTATCCTAGCACTTGGCACTGTAACTGGCACATTGGGTGGTGCTGGTCAGTCGTTTCAGGCCTGTTGACTCTCTGTGACCCCACTTGGAGTTTTCTTGGCAAAGATATTGGAGTGTTCTGCCCTCTCCTTCTCCAGCTCATTCGCAGATGGGGAAACTGAGGCAAACTGGGTGAAGTGACGTCCCCAGGGTCACCCAGCTAGGAAGTGTCTGAGGCTGGATTTGAACTCTGGAGGAAGAGTCTGATTCCAGACCAGGCACTCTATGCACTAAGGCGCCACTTAGGTGCCTACCTGGCACCTAGTAGGTGCTTAATAAACGTTTACTGAATGAATGAATCTGAGAGACCTTAGGTCACAGAAGGGCAGCTAGGGGCTCAGGGGGTGGAGCTCCGGGGCTGGAGTCAGTACGACCTGAGCCACGCAGAGTCGGACACGAGTGAAACGACTGAGTGAGCGCCGGCCGGGGCAGGGGGGTGCTCAGAACCTTCAACACCACCAGGTCCCACTCCTCCACCAAACAGATCTCGGAGCCCAGCCCGGCAGGCGTCCTAACCTCCATCCCGAGGGTGCATGTGCACGCGTGTGCGGGTGCGTGTGCACGCGTGCACGTGGCGGGCCGCAGCCCCTCTCACCTGGCCGGGCTGAAGTCCGCGGGGGTCCGGATGAGCCACAGCTCGGTGCCGGGTTTCCGCAGGGCGTCCAGGGCGAGGCTCGAGGGCGGCTCGGCGGACAGCGTGGCCGGGCAGAAGTCGTCGGGGCAGAGCGGGCTCCGGACGGCTGGCGGCAGGCGGGTGGGGGCAGACGGGGGATGAGCAGGGCGCTCTCGGTCCCCGTCTCCCCCCTCTCCCCACGTAGTGCTCCCCCCACCCTCTCGGCCCCTCCCTGCTCACCTTGAGCCATGGTCCCCGCAGCTCGGACCACTCTGCTAAGTTCAGCCCTGGTTCCGGAACGCGCGGCAAGCCCACGTGGGGCCGGGGGCGTGGCTGCCGAGCTGGGTGAGCCCATTTGCTCCGGAAGCGAGGGGTGCGTGAGAGCAGGAAAGGCACGTTTCCGGCGTCCCGGGCTCCGCGCCATCGGCGTCCTCCCCTCTGCCTCGGACTCTCCTGGGCCGTCCCGGCACAGCGGGAGCCGGCTGGGAGGTGCTGTGTCTGGAGGCTCCGGGCATTTAAAGGGGCAGACGAGGGGGCGGAGTCGGGGCCAGAGCGCTGCTGGGACGCCGGGCTCAGGGGTCTGGGCTGGGCGGGGAGTGGGAGAGAAGCACAGTCCGTACATCTCGGAATTCCCTCGGTCCAGAATCCCTGGCGCTTCTGAGCCGCCAGGAAGGAGCCCAGGCGTCGGAGGTCCCTGCCCAGGGCAGCTGGGGATCCCAGGGCGCCAGGCTGGGGGCGCAGGCAGGGGGCATTGGAGACACCGTGTTCTAGGGTCCCAGCAGTTAGAGCCTTAGAGGTCGTCTCGGCCAACTCCTCATCTTACAGCCTTGGAAACTGAGGCCCACAGAGAGGGGAAGGGACTCGGTAAGTGTCTAGAGGCGGGATTCGAATCCGGCTCATAGAATGCCTGGGTTTCGTGGGACCCACGACATGATGGTCTTTTTTTTTCTCTGTAAAATGGGAATTAGGCATGGCTTGGGTTTGAGGATCTCAAAGCGTCATTACAGCTCGCACGTAGATTCTGGGTTCAGCAAGAGAAGCTGCAGGTCAGCGAAGGGGTGGGCGGACAGAGAGCAGCCTCGGAGAAGGAGTTTGGAAGTTGGGGTGAACGGAGGGACCCAGGAAAGGCGGGGCGGGAGGGCCAGGAGGAGTGTCCCCTTGGAGGTGGGCGAGCGGAGCCGAGAGGGCGGGGCCCGGACCGGGAGTTAAGATCTCAGGTTTGGGGAGTGGCGGGATGGGCCACAGGAGGGAAGAAACGTTGCCTTCTCCCCACCTTCTCCCGCCCACGGGGTTTACTCCTCGGGCCTCGAGAGGTGGACACATCGACGGGTCGGGCGACGAGGCTGCATTCCTGGGCGGTGCGTCAGCCTCCGGTCTCCCCGACTCCCTGTGTGACCCTGAGGTGGCCTCCTCCCATCTCCGGACCTATATTTCTAACCCACCCGTGCCCCCTCCGCATGCCCCAGCGGGTGGCCTCGACGGGGCGGCTTCTCCACCCGCTCCCATATCCCAGAGCTCTAAAATTCCTGGACTCCTGAGTCGGCTCACCTCGAATTCGACTACAACCCCCAGGATACCCCGAGCCAGGGCGCCAGCGCGGGGGATCCCGGCCTTTGTAGTCATGGGGATGCCAGTAATCCCAGGCCACTCCCCAAAGTTTCTTGCTTGGAGATCTAGTCCGCAAGCCCCCCTTTTATAGCCACGGAAGCCGTAGCCCGGGGGAGGCTTCCTTCCCAAGTCCCATGCCAAATCAGTAGGAGAGCCAGAGACTGCCCCTCTCTAATTTAGGACTTCGGGGATTCTTCCTCAGAGAGGCGGCCCAGCTGGTAATGGATTCAAGGATCCCGTCCTCAGCCAGACTCCCGGGTCCTTGGGGTGCTAACTCCGATCACTCCGGATGGCAGAGGGAAAAGTGGGGAAAGTACTGTGCGGCTCCAGGATGGAAGTTTAGAATGGGGGGGGGCGAGACTGGACCCCGATGGGGGACTACAAGTCCCAAGATGCAGCGCGAAGCCCCCCCCACATCTCCGCCCCCTCAAACTTCTCCCCTCCCCCGCCCGCCTTCTCTCCCTCCCTCTCCCTCCAACCTGTGTCACACTGTACAGTAAAACCTGTTCCCCGGCGCCAGAAGCCCCGGGACCTGCCCGGATCCGCCCGGGAGTCTCAGAGGCATCCCCGGTTGAAGGCGCAGTGAGTCGGCTGGGTCGGACGCTTGGGACCCTTCCGCGGGATCTCCAGTGAGGGGTGGGCGGGGAGGGGGGCGGTGAAAGTAGCCTGGGGCACCTGGTGGAGATGGGGGGGGGGAGGATGAGATCACTCCCCAGATTGCACGGGGCCCTAGGGAGCGAGGGGGCTGGGGGGTTCAGGAAGGGGAGGACAGACCCTCCTGAGAAAGCCAGCCCTCTCGTCCTCCCCCACCTTTCCAAGGGCCCCCTGGTGGGCACGAAATGACCGTACCTAGCCAGAAGGAGGGTTTGGGGGAAGAACCCAGGTGGGGGAAGGGAGGGGAGGGAGCTCCGGGTGCCCCCAACTGCTAGACTTTCCCTACCCTGGCCTCAGAGAAGCCTTTCGGTTTTTCCCCAATCCGCCCTTTTCCCTATTGGGAGGGCAGGGGAGGGGAAAATCATAGAAACCAGAGCATGGCAGAACTAAGGATAAGGAGATTTAGGGCTGGAAGGGAGCTTGGCAGTCGCCTGACCCTAGGCCTCATTTTACAGATTAGGAAACTGAGACCCAGAAGAGGATAAAGATCTTTAAAAAAAAAAAAAAAAGTTGTTCCTAAGTAACTTAGAAATAGGGAGTTTCAGGCCAGCACATAGACCCGCAGAACATAGAATGACAGGGCTGGAAGGGACCTTAAAGATAGTCTAGTACAAACTTGTTATTTTACAGAGGGGGAAACTAAGGCTCAGAGAGGGGATGGAATTTGCCCAAGGACCCATGGCTCTTGGCTTCCAGTACACAGTTCATATTACCTTTCCTGGAGTCAGGAAAATAGAGTATTGGGGGGTGGGTAGCCAGTTTGTTCTAGGTCCTGGGGACCCCTAGGCTTAGCTGCTCTTGGAGACACCCCTCACATGCCCAGACTTTCAGAACTCTCTCTCACACACACCGCCCCCCCGCCCCAGCCTCTAAGTCAGCACCAGAGAAAAAGATAAGAAGAGGTCAGCATCTAATTCTGGAAGCGTTCTGGAAGGCTCTGTCCTTGCTGAGCTATGTAGGATTGAGGCCTCCCCCCTCTGCTGCTTGTGGCAGTCTAGTGGGGACCAGTGGTGGACCCCATAGCGGCTCTAGGAAGGAGCCAGTCGGGGCTACTGGCTTCCTTTAAACTGAAACTTTTCTGAGTTGTGGGGGTTGGAGCACGTAAGCCAAGTGGGGAACTTTGGGCCTCTTGTCTGGGTTGGGAGAAAACTGTGACCCTTGAGGGAAAATTATGACCCCAGAGTCTTCCTTCTTGTACTGGGATCGTTCTCCTCCCCACCCCCCAGCCTGGGTAGTTGTGAGCGCAGATCTGGAGATGGGGGTTGGAGGAGGCAAGATGGTGTCTATTTTTCATAATGAGGGTTCTTCAAGAGTAAGGCCATTTCTTCTAGTCTTTCCTCTTTCCCTAGTGCCCTCCCAACCCCATGAGACCAAAGCAGTTTGATTTGAATGTGGTCCATCTGGCTCCCCATTGGGTTGTGTGGCTCTCCCCCCACCCGGAGCCACTGAGAATCTTGGTTCTAGCCACCCCATTCTCTACCCAGCCTTTCCCTATGGGGGAGGGGGTAAAAGAACTGAGGTCTAGGGCACGGATCAATCCAGAGAACATAAAAAAAAAAAAGCCAAAATATCAGAACTGGCAGGAACCACTGAAAATGGAATGTTAGAACTGAAGGGCCATTAGAATAAGAGTAAGCTAGCAGGCAACTTAGGACATAGGCTATTAGAATATTTCTCATCTGGAAGGGAGCTTAGAACATCACATGTTAGAATCTGAATTGGAGCCTAGTACATTGTGTGTTAGAACATGTCCCAGCTGGAAAGGAGTTAGAATACATCCCATCAGGAAGTGTAAGTCACAGGATGTTAGAATATGTCCAAACTGGAAGGGACCTTTGAACTTAGAACATGTCCCAGATGGAAGGGAGCTTAGAACACAGGATGTTAAAACATCTGTCAGCTGGAAGGAAGCTTAGAGCTTAGGATGTTAGCACATGTCCTAGCTGTAAAGGAGTTAGAACATGCCCCAGCAGGAAGGGAGTTTAGAACACAAGATAATAGAACATGTCTTAGTTGGAAGGGTGTTGGAACATGTCTCCGTTGAGAATTAGAACAGAGGATGTTAGAACATGCTCCAGCTGGAAGGAAGCTTAGAACATTGGATGTTAGAACGTGTCCCAGCTGGAAGAGACTTTAGAATACAAGATATTAGAACATGTCCTGACTGGAAAGGAGTTAGAACATGCCCCAACTGGGAGTTTTGAACACAGGAGGATAGAACGTGTCCCAAATGACAGGGAGATCAGAACATAGGATGTGAAAACACATTCCAGCTAGAAGGATCTGTGAATCACAGAATGGTAACACAAAATATTAGACCTAAGAGGGAACTTAAAACAGACTATCAGTACTAGAAAGACCTTCAAGACCACCAGGTCAGACCTCCTTCTTTTACAGAAGGAGGAACTCAGACTTATGGAGGAAAAGGGTCTTTCTCAAGGTCATACAGTGAGTTTGGGGTAGAGCCAGGGCTACAATGGAGGTTTCCTGCCCCTAGTCCAAGGCTTTGTAGGTAGGGGTGGGGAAAGGAGGATGTTTGTCTGCCTGACAGACGACAGTACAAAATGGAGCCCCTCCCTCCCAACAGAAAGGGTGTTAACTTGGGTGCACCTTCCCCCTACCCCGTTGGTCATCTGGAGCAAGGAGACCACTCATTGGGACTCTGGGGGAACATTTAGGGAGTGAGTTGTGTCCAATCTGGCAGGGAAGGTGTTAGGGTGCAATCCTGGGAGGACAGGACCTGGCTGAGTGCCTCCCCCGCCTCACCTGCTCTTCCCTGGGGGAGGAAGAGGACTTGCTGTGACTGGCCTGATAACATACCAGAGGCTTGAGCTCACTGGCTGGGCGGGTGGGAGGCTGGCTGTATCTCATTCCCCTCCAAGGCCACAGTGCCTGCCTCCTCCATTAGCCAGGACACGGTGTGTGTAGGAGAGGGCTATTCTCCCCTTCGCTAGCCCCCAAACACTGTCAGAAAAAGGTACAAAGCTGGAGCTGGCAACTTCGGAGTCTCCTAAGCCAGCTGGGGCCGGATGTCAGGGTTCCGGGGCTCTCTTTTCCCTCCTCCCTTTACAGGCTGCCCCTCAAACAGTCTCAGGGCTGAAATGAGAATCCTAGAATCTTGGAATTGGAATCTATAAAACTTAAAATCAAATCTGGAAGAGCTCCGATTCTTCGAATCTAGATGGCAGAATGCCAGAGCTGGAAGGGATCAGAGAACTCCCCTGCCCCATTTAGCTGAAGAGGAAAGTCCGGGCTCACAGGAGGAAGACGACTTGCCCACGGTCACACACAGCGAGGACGGGGAAGATCGCTCTTTCCCCACACCTCACAGCCTCTTTTCTCACGTTCACACCAGTCTGCCAGTTGGATCGGGACAGGTTGACCGCATGCCCAGAGCCCCGCCCCTCCCTCCCGCGTTCGGGGTGGGGCTCCCTCCGCCCGGCCGGGTGCCTGTGGTGCTGGGGTGGTGGCTTCGCCCCGAGGCGGCTGCGGGGGCTGAAGGAAAACACCTCCTGTCCCGGCCCTTCTCCCACCCTGGAGGGAGGGCGAGGCCGGCTGGCCGTAGAGGTTGTGTTGGCCCAACCGGTTTCCTTCTCCCAGCCGTCTAATTTCCAGCCGTGGCGCCCTTGCCTCCGCCCAGCATTCTCCGGGACACCTTCTCTCCGTCGCCCGTCCCCTCCCTGCACTCTTAATCTCAGTACCCTTAAATTCTACATTCTCGCTGAAGGCCCTCCAGAGTCTTACCCCCTAACTCTTGAGAACCACGCCAGGTTCCTCCCTCCTAGCACTTAGAATTCCACCTTACTGCTGAGAATGCTGGTCCACCAGACCCGGATCTCTGCAGCTTAGAATCAGCCGCGAGCTCTCCAGAGCCCGGCTTCCTTGAAGTCCGAGCTGTTGGGCTCAGTTCTTAAGGAGCTAGCCTCCTCGCCCTCTCTCCACCTCCAACTCAACGCTTAGAGATCTGGGGTGTGGTGGAAAGAGCGCTAGGAACAGCAGTCAAGAGAGACCTGGGTTCAAATCCCGTCTCTGACACAAGCCTTGTGGCCTTGGGCGACTCACCCCCCCCCCAGCTTCGTGTTCCTCTGCAAAATGAGAGGTCGGATCAGGTGACCTCCGAGGCCCCTTCCAACCCTGGATGCTATGTGACCCTAAGAAGCATAGCTGTGGGACAGCTGGCAAGTCCCGGAACCTCTCCGAGACTCGACTTCCTCCTCGATAAAATGAGGCTAATAATAACGCGAACCTCGCGGGGTGATGCTGGGGATAATGTACTTGGACGTCCCCTATCATTATCTTGCCTCCTCAAGGTGCTGTAAGACCTCGCCCCTGTGTGCTTGGAGATCGTGCTTCCAAGCACTTCGGGACCTGGTGGGGCAGCCGAGGCTTAGCGGTCTTTCTCCTTCCCGCAGGCGCGCCCCCCCAGCCTGGGCACCATGGACAGCGAGGCCTTTGAGAGCGCTGCGCGGGACCTTCTGGACTTGAACTTCCAATGTGAGGAAGGGGCCCTCTGGGGGCGGGGCTACACCGGATGGGGGCGGGGCTCCCTGGAGCCTCACTCCTCCCCTCCCCTCCCCACAGCCTTGGCCATGAAGCACATTGACCTGAAACAGATGGAGCTGGACACTGCCGCGGCCAAAGTGGACGAGCTGACCAAGCAGCTGGAGTCGCTGTGGTCGGACTCCCCGGCCCCCTCCACTCCTCCACCTCAGGCCAGCGCTCCGACCAGGGTGAGCCCCTCGGGCCCCTCCTCCCTGAGACCCTCCCCCAGCCTCATTTCAGGGAGGCAACTGGGGAGCCAGCTTAGTTAACCCAGACCTAAACAAACCCTGCTCTGCCCATCCTCCAGCCTCTGCCCGAAGACCCCCAAGGACAGTGAGCTCGCTACTCCCCAGGCAGCCCGTTGTTCTTGGGGCCAGCTCTCAGTGTGAGGAAGCTTTCCCTGAGCTCAAGCCTAAATTGGCCCGTTGGCAATTTCTCCCCATTAGTCTTAGTTGGGGCTTCTCAAATACTTGAACACAGCTCTTCTGTCTCCCAAGGCCACCCTGCAGCTTCTCTTTTCCAGGCTAAATATCTCCAGTTGCCTATACCATGATCTTGTCACCCCTCAATATTCTGGTTGTCCTCCGTGGGACCCTTCGGTTTATCCCTGTTCTTTATAAAATCTGGCAGCCCAAACTGAACATAGTACTCTAGATGGGGTCCAGTCAGGACTTTGTTGTTGAGTTGTTTCAGTCATATCCAACTTTTCGTGAGCCCATTTGGGGTTTTCTTGGCAAAGATACTGCAGCAGTTTTTAGTTTCCTACTCCAGCTCATTTTACAGATGAGGAAACTGAGTCAAAGAGAACTAAGTGACTTGCCCAGGATCACACTGCTAGGAAGTGTCTAAGGCTGGATTTGAACTCAGGTCTTCCTGACTCCAGGTCTAGGTGCTCTGTCCGCTGTGCCACCAGTCAGGACAGAGCTCAGCAATATCAGCTCACCAGCCTTAGAGATTATATACTTCCCTTGCTGTAGTCTTAGCTCTGAGGTTGCCACAGGACACAGTTGACCTCTATTAAGCTTCAAGTCCATTAAAAGACCAAACCTGGCACTAGTAAGCACTTAATAAATGCTCACTCCCTCTCTCTGCCTGTTTATCCATTTCTCCATTGTTCTAGTTCAAGCTGCTTGCTGACCACACCTCCCTCATCTTGTACTTGTCATATTTTTCTTTTCCCAAGTGTCCAGAGTTTACTTTGATCCAGATCCTTATTAGATTTGGCCCATTGCTGGAGCCAGACAAGAGGTTTTGGCATCTCCACTCTGCCATCCAACCTTAGCTAGGGCTTCCAACTTTTTGTCATCTGTAAATTTGACAAACATGCCATCTTTGCCTTTCTTTCAGTCAATGATATGTGAAATAAGTTGGGGCACTCCACTGGAAAGTTCCTTCTTTCTGAGTTGTTGGGAATGACTCCTTTCAGAGGCTGGCCAGTGAACTGGCTCCTCCTTCTGACCCAGCTTGGTGTGATTCTAGCCCTTATCATCTCTATCTGTTCCACAAGAATGGCATGAGAGACTGTCAGATGCTAGGTCCATTTATATTTATAGTATTCCTCTCTCCACCTCCCAATCTATCAGTCTAGTAATCCTGTATTAAAAAAAATAAAAAGCTTCATCTGGCATGACCTGTGCTTGATGAAGCCAGGCAGGCCTTTCTGATCACTGCTCCCTTTTTCGGATCTTCACTAAACATTCATTTAATAATATATTGTAGAATACGTCCTTTCCATAGCCCCTCAGTTTTCTTTCCTTGGGTCTTCCTTCTCCCAAGACCCTGGCTCCCTTCTCCCTGAGTCTCCAGATCCCTTTCCCTGAGCCTCTGGGCACCTTCCCCCTGAGCCCTTGGGTC